TAATTTTTTTATATTTTTATATATATATATTTTTATATATATAATAATTAAAAAATATATTTATAAAAATTTTTATATTATTTATATATATTATATATATATATTTTTTAAATTAATATATATATATATATATTATATTTTATATATTTATATATATATAATATATATGAAGGAGGGGTGAAAAAGTTGCATTTAAAAACTGTAGTGTAAAGCACCCTTCGGGCAAGAAGTGATGGAGTGAATGATGGTAAAAGTTTTTTTTTTGGGCCACCCGCCTTGGTGGGAATGGCCCCGGTATAAAAAAAAAAAAAAAAAATATAATATATATATATATAAAATTTATTATATTTATATATATAATATATATTTTATATATAATATATTTTTATATATTATTTATATATATATATATATATATATATTATAATAAAAATAATATATTTTTATTTTTATAATTACCGTGCCAGTAACAAGTAAATCTTTACTTAAATTAACTGATTTTTATGAACATAGTTTAAAATATATAAAAAGGTTCTAATAGGGTATAATCGAAGGCACAAATGTTATAGGCCTACAGTTTTCACTGGCACAATTGCGACAGACACCATTTGTTATAGGTAAACAATGTAACAATCATTCAAAGTTATTTGCATTAAAGTAAGACAAAAGTGTGATTTGCTGCTTTAAATGGATAACTTAAAATTTGGGATTTGCGTTTAAACCCTTTTTTCCCACCTTTTACCCGGGCATTAATATAAATTTTAGTATAAATTTAAACAATAACAAGGGAAATCGCACCCAGACGCGGTCTGAGCGTTTTTGGGTCAGGTGCTCGTCTAACCTTCACGTGTGTGATGTGGCCGAGTAGCATGATGGCTACAAGATTAAGACAGCATGTAAATACTGTCGGTGTTGAGTTGATGAAGGGAAGTGTCCAATGTGATGCTGCCTGCCGCTATAAATGGCACATACGGGACTGAGGACGAAGAACTATACAGGGTAGCCTTGAATGAGGCCATTTGTTTATTGTCAATTGGGGAGAAATTTAAGGGCGTCGTGATGGAGGTTACGGAAAAGGTCAAAGTACGCCTGGTCGATGTATCCAAGAGATACACTTCGGACAAGGTTCGCAGTGTGCTTTTCGAGGTGGACGAGGGTGACTTGAGTACAGTATTCTCCAGATATGTTATGATTCATGTGGCTCAACAGGGAACATGAGGTACTGAGGTGTATACTGGTTTACCTGAGGATACAAATTCGCAAAAAAAAAAGTTAAATGCCCTGTTCCATCCTTCGTTGTCCTGCCGAACTTCTGTTCTCAGGTGATAGTAATCTATTCTTGATAGAGATGCACGTGCAAGATAAGAAGCAACAAAGTGGGCCCAGGCCATCTACATAGGAGAATGAGCAAGCTTCCAGGCCATGGGGCATGCATCGCTCCCATGAGTGACGAAGGGAAGAATATTGTAGTGGTGGACGTGGAGACCATAGACTTGAAGGCTGCTGAACAGGGTGACGAGTTAGGGAAAGCGTTATTGCAAATTTTTCCCTCCCAGGGGAGAGTCCTCAGTGATTGAGGAGGGCCGGGGGCTCGAGTGTGTGAAGTGACTGTAGCGAATCCACGGGAACTTCCATCACACCTGTGCTGATTGCAGAGTTTGAGAGGCTCAGTGAAGCGGATATTGAAGTGGAGTTGTATCAGGCGGCCTCGATCGAAATTTCTGAAGTGGAGGAACTGAGCACCTGGTAACAGGCAGCAGCAACGGATTTTGATCATGTATTAACCTCGGCGCAAAGGAAGTCTCGTAAGAAGTAGAGATGACCAGAGATACAGAAAGTGTGAGGGGTTAAGCCCATTAGTGTCAAAGGGCTCAAATCAGTGGGGCCTTTGACCACCTGCGGCTAAGGTATTAAGGGTTATGCTAACAAGACAATGAGTCGAGAGTGATTGAAAGTAACCCACTTCTTACTAGGCCACCGATTAATGACTCTCGATGTTAATGGGCTATGTGTGGCGGCAAAAGGAAAATTGGCAAGTTCGCTTTGCAGATATAAGGCTGATGTATATCCTTAAGGATATACGAGATCTGGAGATCCAAGGTTAAGTGGTATACGCATTGTACGTTTAAAAGATGGTGTGGCCCGTATATCATCATAGTGAAAATGGTGGAAATGGTCACATTATACGTGTCTCTGCAGAGTGGCAGCATTGCCCTGTTTCTCACGCATGTGTGTATGCTCCAGCGGATGGCTATGTGAGGGTTAAAAATAATTTTAGAGTGCAGGATTTTGTATTTTTTCTTAGGACACTGCCGACATTAGCCTTTGTAGAGCAGACTGAATTTTATTTTTCATTAACACATCGGCCGTTTCCCATCAAGGCAGTGTGGCCCGAAAAGGAAAAACTTTCATCATCTTTCACTCCATCACTCTCTTGCCAGACTCATGCCTACACTACAGTTATAAAACTGCAACATTAACACCTCTCCTTCAGAGTGCTGGCACTGTACTTCCCATCTACAGGACTCAAATCCGGCCTGCCGGTTTTCCAGAATCCCATCATAAATGTTACCTTTACACTCCAACAGCAGGTCAAGCCCTAAAAACCATTTGTCTCCATTCGCTCCATTCTAACACGCTCACGCACGCTTGCTGGAAGTCCAAGCCCCTCGAACACAAAGTCTCCTTTACCCCCTCCCTCCAACCTTTCCTAGGCCGACCCCTACACGCCTTTCCTCCACTACAGATTTGTACGCTCTCGAAGTCTTTATATTTCCTTCCAGTCTCTCTACATGTCCATACCACCTCAATAACCCATCCTCAGCCCTCTGGATAATAGTTTTGGTAACCCCACACTTCCTCCTAATCTCCAAACTACAGATTTTCTGCATTATATTCACACCACACATTGCCCTCAGACATGACATCTCCACTGCCTCCAGCCTTCTCCTTGTTGTAACATTCACAACCCATGCCTCACATCCATACAAGAGCATTGGTAAAACTATACTCTCGAACATTCTCTTCTCTGCTTTCATGGATAAAGTTGTTTGTCTCCACAGACTCCTCAGTGCACCAATCACCTATTTCCCCTCGTTCCCTCCCAAATTTCTGAACATATTCACCTCCTCCATACTCTCTCCCTCCAATCTGATATCCAATCTTCCGTTAACTAATTTTTTAGTTATCCTCATCACCTTACTCTTTCCTATATTCACTTTTAACTTCATTCTTTTACATACCCTACCAAACTCATCACCCAGCCTCTGCAACTTCAACTTGCCTAACCCTTGGGCATGACCTACTTCCACATTGGACAAATGTGATACCGCCTGCGACTGCTGCACCTTTTCTGCCTACAGTATATAAGCCACTCCTTCGCACATATGCTGTATTTAGCAAAGAACACCTGTGACAACTCCCACTTTGAGTTAGATTCTTTATCTTTTACCCCCACACCTCTTGCCAACACCCGAGCATTCACTTCTCTTACTACCCATCTATAAATATATTGAACAACCACGGTGACAACACACATCCCTGTCTAAGGCCTACTTTTGCTGGGAAATAATCCCGCTCTTGCCTACATACTCTAACCTGAGCCTCACTGTCTTCGTTAAAACTTTTCACCGCTTTCAATAACCTACCTCCTATTCCATACATTTGTAACATATGCCACATTGCCCCCCCCCCTTCCCTATCCGTCGTATCAAATGCCTTTTCCAAATCTATAAATGCCACAAAAACCTCTTTACCTTTATCTTAATACTCTCTTCCAAACATTTATTAAATAAAAACACTAACCACTCCAAAACTATATCCCCAACTGCTTTTAACATCTCTATTTTTATCTCATCAGTCCCAGCTGCTTTACCCATTTTCAGTCTACTCACTGCCCTACACACTTTCCCCACACTCACAACTGCTTCTTCCTCACTCCTATACTCCTACAAGATGTTATTCCTCCTTGCCCTATACACGAAATCACAGCTTCCCTATCTTCATCAACATTTAACAATTCCTCAAAATATTCCATCCATCTTCCCAATACCTCTAACTCTCCATTTAATAACTCTCCTCTCCTATTTTGAAGTAACAAATCTATTCTTTCCCTAGGCTTTCTCAAGTTATTATTCTCACTCCAAAACTTTTTCTTGTTTTCAACAAAATTTGTTGATAGCATCTCACCCACTCTCTTATTTGCTCTCTTTTTACATTGCTTTACCACTATTTTAACTTCTCTTTTTCTCTCCATATACTCCTCCTTCCTTGCATCATTTCTAACTTTTTCTCTCTCTCTTTACATCAACATACTACCAATCACTCTTCTTCCCTCCTGCACCCACTTTCCAGTAACCACAAACTTCTACTGAACACTCTAACACTATATTCTTAAACTTACCCCATACATCTTCTATCCCATTGCCTGTATTCTCACCAGCCCATCTGTTCTCACACATTGGTTATATCTTACCTTAACTGCCTCCTCCTTTA